TGGGTGTGGGTCCCAATCAGCCAGAGTTTCGGGTGAGTTCATTGTGAAACCTGGCCCCACCTTATCATGCGAATTCCTGAGGTCAGATGGCCCAGGATGTGAGTGGGCGTTAAGGCGTCTGGGAAGGGATCTCAAAACTGGATTATAGATGGCAGAGAGTTGGTGTCGTAAACCCCCGCCTCTGTTCAAAGATGGTCGCTCACAGTGGACATAGATGCTTCTTTCACTCCTCTTTCAAACCATCTGTCCTCTCTGTCCAAAATGTGAACATTGGCATCCTCGAAAGAGTGACCTTTGACCTTTAGATGCAGATGGACTGCTGAGTCTTGTCCTGTGGAGGTGGCTCTTCTGTGTTGTGCCATGCGCTTGTGAAGTGGCTGTTTGGTCTCTCCAATGTAGAGGTCTGGGCATTCCTCGCTGCACTGTACAGCATAACACCACATTGTTAAGTCTGTGTTTTGGCGTTTTGTCTTTCGGGTGAACCAGTTTCTGTCTGAGCGTGTTGCTGGGTCTGAAATGACACCGGGATGTCATGCTTGGAGAAAACTCTCCTGAGTTTCTCTGATACACCGGCTACATAGGGGATGACAATGTTGTTGCGTCTGTCCTTCTTATCCTCCCTCGCTGGTGTCTGATCTTCTTTTCTGTGCCTCTTTGCTGACTTTAAGAACGCCCATTTAGGATAGCCGCACGTTTTGAGTGCTTCCTTTACATGTGTGTGTTCCTTCTTTTTCCTTCAGGCTTAGAGGGAACATGTTCTGCCCGGTGGTGTAGGGTCCTAATTACTCCAAGTTTGTGTTCCAGAGGGTGATGGGAGTCAAAGAGGAGGTACTGGTCCGTGTGTGTGGGCTTCCGGTAAACTTCGATGTTGAGGTTTGCCGTTCTCTTCAATGTGCACGCGCAGTCCAGGAAAGGCAAACAGTCGTCCTTTGTGTCTTCCCTGGTGAACTTGATGTTTTTATCCACAGCGTTAATGTGCGCAGTGAAGGATTCCACTTCTTGTGTCTTGATTTTGACCCAGGTGTCGTCCACATATCTGTACCAGTGGCTGGGTACTCTTCCTTTGATAAGACACAGTTAGATCGGATTCATGCTCTCGGCGGTTACTGACTGACATCTACCTGTGTTACTCTTTCTTTCCCTGTCTTGTCAGAGCCTCCAGAAAGTGTCTCCATCAGCTTTGTAAACCACACTGAGATGATGTTTGAGAATCAGCAGTACACCCTGCAGTGTAGCGTACAGAACGTAGCTCCTGTTCAAAGCCTCACTGTGACCTTCTACAGAGGAAACACAGCACTGGGTCACCTACAGTCCGAACAGTGAACAGAAGAAACCAGTGAATGAGACCTTCACCCTGAACATCACTCCCAGTAGAGAAGATGATGGAGCTCAGTACTGGTGTGAAGCCAAGCTGGAGCTGGGACCAGCTGGACCACAGCGCCCTCCAGTGGTGACATCAGAAAAACTCCCTGCTCTAGTTCACTGTGAGTCTGAGAGAAATAAAGACGCTCTTTGATCTGTTTCTCAGAGTTTGACATTTTGAGCATGATTCATGTCACTGGTTTGGTTTTCTGTCCTCGTGAGCGCTTTGAGGAAGAATCCAAACAGTAAAGAAATGCTGTTTGGATTCTTCCTCATGGTGCTCATCACTGTTAATGAACAGGCTCTAAAAAGCATCATCAACAAACTGCTGACTGACACAAGCTGATGAACATAGTGGAGGATTTAGCTGTTTACCAGTAAAATGTTTCCCTCAGAAGTTTGTGGAAAGCCAGAATAGAAGTAAAAAAATAATAATAGTAATTGTGTTTAGATCCTAAATGATAAAAGTTCAGCTTTACTATTTGTTTAAATGTGGAATCAATACAGAGTATTAAGAGAATTAACCTGTAAAGTAAGCAGAGCTTTCAACATCATGAAGTGAAAATGAAAAGAGTAAGCCGAGTGAACATTAAAGTACAGTGGCTGGACTGTCGACAGTACTTTTGTTGTATTACACCAGAAATGTGTTTTAATTTATAATTATTTCTATTTTGCTGAAATTTTGACTTGTGTTTTTTCCTTATCAATATCACACAGATGGCCTGAGCTAAAGGAGCCACAACAAATCACAATGTGATCACAATCAAGAAAGGAAACTCTACACTGAATGCTCCTGTGGGAAACCCAGCCCTCATCACCTGGACCGCCCAGGCAAATAGTCCTTCCTACAGTGGCAGCATTCCATATGAAATCTGTTGGTTTGGGAGCATGAAGGACAGTAATATCTGCACTGTGATGACACAGTAGGGACTGTCACCAAGAGTTTAACATTGATGTGCAGTGAGTGTTGTAGACTACGGAAAATGTGTACTGGGGAAGATAATCACAATATTATTTCACAAATTAGTTCATTGTGATGTTTTGGTGTTTTTAATTTCCTGGTATAATGACTCTCTTTTCTTTTTTACCAACCCGACCCACCAAAAATAAGTCAACTCCACCCCATAATAATATCTGACAATACTGGGAGTCGGTCCTGTCGGACGTCGATGGGATGGTATGGCAAAACAAAGTATGGGACACAGACAAACTCAGTAAAATTTCGTTATGACAGCTGAGAATACTGAAGGTTAAAATATATTTTGATGATGAGTTCTATAGCAGCTTGTACCTGTCTAGCTTCTAAGTGAAGTGTTGTATTGGAAAAAAGCATTTCCAAGGGAAAAGGTTCTCCCTTTTCATCTCTTTGGTTAAATGTTAAGTGTTGTTTATTTTGTAAATAAATTGCCAAAACGGAAGAAAGTGTGGTAAGCATTTTACTGCACGCAGGAGAAGCAACACACACATCAAATTACAGTTCACAGTCATGGCAGCTCTGCCCTTGGGACGTCTCAGCTCCTCTTTTATACCCCACACACAACTCTGTATCTTTGAGTTACAACAGGTTTCTGTCCCACGGGCTGTGGCTGGACAGAGAACAACTCCCACTATCTTTTCCCAGGAAGCACCTGGCACTGGGCTTCCTTCTTCTGAGCGAAACAGTTATCAGATAACACAGTGAAACATCGTTACACCAAGCTGAGCCGTTTTGACGAGGTCTTACTGACACATGCACACTTTATCTAAGCATACAAAGGTTATACAAAATCCTACAGTGAGATTCTAAACACAAAGAAAATGTGAAGATGAACTAGAATTTTTCCATAACACAGGCATTCATCTTCTATTAGCAGTTGATGAGCAGTGGTGTTCAAACTGAGCCCACGGGGACTTTGAGGGTCTCTGCTACATAAATGTCCCCTCTGTTCTTCACCTGTTGGCTGATTCTCTCTTCAGTCACTCTCTGCTTGATAATGCAGGCTATTTTCACGCAAACCTAAAATATTTAATACATCTCATAGGCATTCTCTTGATCTCATACATGACACTCCACATTTTCTAAGGATTATTTAATAATGCCATTTTTCCTCTTGAGTTGCATTAGATAAGGGTTGTTCTTGGAATAAAATGTGTCCTCACTGCTCAGTATCTTGAATTTTATGTCCTTTTCTACTCAAGATGCAACATAAAAGGGACTTTTAGTCATTATAGCTCACAAAGTTTGCTTTGTTTGTGCTGTTCCATTGTCAAATTTCAAAAGCTCTTAAATGAGTAACGTTGGTGCTTTGCAAGGTGTTTCCACTTCATCTCATTTGCAAATGTAATGTCGATAAACAGCAGATTATTCTTCATGTATCTGATTCAATTCCATCATACTCCTGTATCCATGTGTATCCATCCTAAAGCCTTGTCCTCTGTTCAGTTTTGCACAAACGGAGGAGGAAGAAGGAATAAAAAAAAGAGAATCTTTCGTGTTCCGAAGATGGAATTCGAAAAAGAATAAAAAATAAACAGAAACATCTTAAATAAAACACACCCAACCCAACAATACAAATAACAAAAAAGCAAAGACTCAACATAAAAAATATGTCCGTGTCCGCTATAGACCAGGATTTGTACCAGTTCCGACATTATGATTTTGATTTAAGTTCATTAAGAATAAAAAATACATCCGAATTGCCTCGTGCAAACATAACCAATAATATGAGAAAATAACTACATTCATAGAAAATGTCGTGGAAAAAGAGGGATTAAAAAGTGTTCGTGGCTAATCAGATACAGTGAAAGAAAAAGAAACTAAAAAATAAATAATATAGATACTGCGTGTTTGAATCGACATTACACGATTGCAATAGAATGAAATGGGATGAACAATTGCAAGCACAACGGTTCTGCATTTACAGAGCTTTGTTGAAAAAAAAAAAATTTTGACAATGGGGAAAGCGAAAACAAGCAATAGACTTTGTTGGTACTAATAAATGATAAAGATTTTATGGTTTGCATCTTGAGTAGAAAAGGACATAAAATTCAAGATACTGAGCAGTGAGGACACATTTTATTCCAAGAACAACCCTTATCTAATGCAACTCAAGAGGAAAAATGGCATTATTAAATAATCCTTAGAAAATGTGGAGTGTCATGTATCGAAAATAAGTTAAAGAATAAAAAAAAAAAAAACAAAAAACAAACAAAAAAAGATTCTCTGTTAAAAACACAAAAAACAAACAAAAAAAAAAAAACAAACAAAAAATAAAACAATATAAAAAATGCCTATGAGATGTATTAAATATTTTAGGTTTGCGTGAAAATAGCCTGCATTATCAAGCAGAGAGTGACTGAAGAGAGAATCAGCCAACAGGTGAAGAACAGAGGGGACATTTATGTAGCAGAGACCCTCAAAGTCCCCGTGGGCTCAGTTTGAACACCACTGCTCATCAACTGCTAATAGAAGATGAATGCCTGTGTTATGGAAAAATTCTAGTTCATCTTCACATTTTCTTTGTGTTTAGAATCTCACTGTAGGATTTTGTATAACCTTTGTATGCTTAGATAAAGTGTGCATGTGTCAGTAAGACCTCGTCAAAACGGCTCAGCTTGGTGTAACGATGTTTCACTGTGTTATCTGATAACTGTTTCGCTCAGAAGAAGGAAGCCCAGTGCCAGGTGCTTCCTGGGAAAAGATAGTGGGAGTTGTTCTCTGTCCAGCCACAGCCCGTGGGACAGAAACCTGTTGTAACTCAAAGATACAGAGTTGTGTGTGGGGTATAAAAGAGGAGCTGAGACGTCCCAAGGGCAGAGCTGCCATGACTGTGAACTGTAATGTTTGATGTGTGTGTTGGCTCTCCTGCGGCAGTAAGAAATAGCTTGACCACAGCTTTTTTCCGTTTTGCAGACTTTATTTACAAAATTAAACAACACCTGTAACATTTAAACAAAGAGATGGAAAAATGGGGAGAACCTTCCCTTGGAAATGTGCTTTTTTCCAAACAACAACTTCACTTAGAAGCTAGACAGGTACAAGCTGCTGATCAGAATCAGTATCAAAAATATATTTTAACCATTCAGTCATTTCTTCAGCTGTCAGTAACGATAATTTTACTGAGTTTGCTGTGTCCCATACAGTTGTGTTTGCAGTACCATCCCACTGACAGTCCGACAAGGACCAGAGCTCCCAGTATTGTCCCAGATATTATATATGGGGTGGAGTTGACTGTAGAATTGTGTTGAGGTGGGGTCGGGGTTGGGTAAAGAAAGGAAAAGAGAGTCATTTATACCAGGCAAATTAAAAACACCAAAACACTCACAATGAACTTAATTTGTGAAATAATATTGTGATTGATCTTCAGTGACACATTTTCCAGGAAGTATCTGACAACACTCACCTTGCACATCAATGTTAAACTCCTTGGTGACAGTCCCTACTGTGTTTCTCACAGTGCAGATATACTGTCCTTCATGCTCAAAGCCAACAGATTTAATAGTGAGAATGCTGCCACTGTAGGAAGGACTATTTGTTGGGCGTGTCCAGGTGCATGAGGGGCTGGGGTTTCCCACAGAGGAGCAGTTCAGGTGTAGAGTGTCTCCTTCTGTGATTGTGATCACATCTGGATTTGGTGGCTCCTTTAGCTCAGGCCCATCTGTGTGATTATTGATAGAGAAAAAAACACAAAGCAAAATTTCAGCAAAATAGAAATAATTTATAAATTAAAACACATTTCTGGTGTAATATACAACAAAAGGTACTGTCGACAGTCCAGCCCACTGTACTTTAATTTCACTCGGTGGTGCTATACTCTGTTGTCAGTTTGTCCACTTCATGATGTTTGAAAGCTCTGCTTACTTTACAGGTTAATTCTCTTAATACTCTGTATTGATTCCACATTTAAACAAATAGTAAAGCTGAACTTTTATCATTTAGGATCTAAACACAATTACTATTATTATTTTTTTACTTCTATTCTGGCTTTCCACAAACTTCTGAGGGAAACATTTTACTGGTAAACAGCTAAATCCTCCACTATGTTCATCAGCTTGTGTCAGTCAGCAGTTTGTTGATGATGCTTTTTAGAGCCTGTTCATTAACAGTGATGAGCACCATGAGGAAGAATCCAAACAGCATTTCTTTACTGATGAGAGGTGTGAGGAAGAATCAAAACAGTAAAGTAATGGGACATAAAACTAAACCAGTGACATGAAACATGCTCAAAATGTTAAACTCTGAGGAACAGAACAAAGAGCGTCTTTATTTCTCTCAGACTCACAGTAGACTGGAGGAGCAGAGAATTTTTCTGATGTCACCACTGGAGGGCTCTGTGGTCCAGCTGGTCCCAGCTCCAGCTTGGCTTCGCACCAGTACTGGGCTCCATCATCTTCTCTACTGGGGGTGATGTTCAGAGTGAAGGTCTCATTCACTGGTTTCTTCTGTTCACTGTCGGACAGTAGGTGACCCAGTGCTGTGTTTCCTCTGTAGAAGGTCACAGTGAGGCTTTGAACAGGAGCTACGTTCTGTACGCTACACTGCAGGGTGTACTGCTGATTCTCAAACATCATCTCAGTGTGGTTTACAAAGCTGATGGAGACACTTTG